TTTAATGGTGTACCACATTTCTCTGAGGCTCTGTTTGTTTTCCTTAATTCTTTCTCTGTTCTTTGGCTTACCTAATCTCTATTGATCTGGTTTCCAGTTGGTTAATTCTTTTTTCATACAGTTCAAATCTATGGCTGAGCCCCTCTAGTGATTTTTTAAATTTCAGTTATTGTATTATTCAACTCTAGCTTTTCCACTTGATTCTTTTTTATAATTTCTATTTTTTTATTGATATTCTATATTTGATGTAACATTGTTGTCCGATATTCCTTTACTTCTTTAATCATGCTTTCCTTTAGTTCTGTGAACACGTTTATAGTAACTACTTTGAAACCTTGTTCTGTTAAATCCAACATTTGGTAACTCTCAAAGGAAATGTATGTTGCTTGCTTCCCTGCCCCACACACACTGTATGGGTCATACTTTCATGTTTTTTTATATGCCTCATAACTTTTGTTGGAAACTGAACATTTTAGATAACATATTATAGACACTCAGTATTGGTCATCCCCACCTCTGGGACTTGTTAATTGTTATTTGCTTGTTTAATTGTTGAGTGACTGGCTAGATTACTTTAGTGAAGTCTATTTCTCTCTCACAGTGTTAAACCTCTGAGAGGCACAGGTTTGGGTATACCCACCATAACCCAGGGATGAAGGTGGAGCTGATGGAGTTGCCTTCTCTTTCTCTTCCTGACCACACCCCATTGCTAAATTCCACTAATTGCTCACAGATAGTAGTTCTGACCCCTGAGGACTCCTCCCAGTTGTCTTTTCCCTGGCTCTCTCCTAAGAGCTAGTTGCCCTATAGTCTAGTCTGTATTTTCATTAGATCTCTGAATATCCTCCCCATTGCTCTTCGCCACAACCTCCACTGTTTTTGAGATTATCCTCAGGTTTAAACTTCTCCAGGCTCTGTAAGTCAGGTACTTTGGAAAGATATTAGAAATTAATTGTTTTACTGCCTGCTTCTCTCCCAGGCAAAATCTTTGTGTCAGGGATCTGAAGCTGGGAGTGGAGAAAATAGCAAGTTTCTGAGTGACAGACAGCTCAGTCTAGGAACTTGGTGGAGGAGGGCAGCAGCCTGAAGTCCTCTTAGCCCGCCTTTCCTGGTATGTAACCACTATTTCAAAAACTAGGAGGAAGTTTGATGAGACCCCAGTATTTTCAGGGAGCTACAACAAGGTAGAGATGCCACACCTTGAACAGGGGTTGGGCACAATAAGAGAGCACCCCCTTCTCCTGAATTCATTTGCCTGAACTTAGCCTCAGCTATAGGTAGCTGTGGGCAGCATGAGAAATGCTTAAGTTCTGCCTCTCCCAAGAAAAACCCCTCCAGGTAGGAACTGGGGACAAAGGGAGCCTTTTGTTCTTGGCTGCTGCAGTCTGAAGTGGAATATATATGCCTTGCTGAGCTGGGAGGAGAGAGGGAGGAAAGTTTTGTTTCAAATATCACAGGCTTTTTGGGAATTCTTTCTTATAGATTTTCATAGATTTTGAGATGATTTTTCATTTGCTGTTTGCTTTTAGGACCATTTGACCATTTTCAGAGGCTTTAAATTGTTATTCTGTAATAGTTTTCACCAGTTTCACTGGGAAGTGCGTCAGTGGGGTAGGGAGTGCTATTGGCTCAGAAGTCTATCTTCTCCCATTTTGTCTTTAACCAATTCTAATAATGCTTTTGTATCTACTATTACACATCTAGGGCTCCAAAAGCTTTGTTTTGCTGTTAAGAAATAAATTCTCAATCCTAATCTTCTTCAACTTTTCAGTAGCATGTAAAACAGTTAACTATTCTTCCACCAACTTAAATGAAATTCACTCTTTGGGGCCCAACACTACTTTGAGTTTCCCTCCTCTCTCATCATTTTTTTCTAGCTTAGTCTCCTTTGCAGACTGCCACTTCTCTGCCCAATCTATGATTTTGGGAGTGCCTGTCTTGGGCCAGGGTTCTCTTTTTTCATATATATCTTCCCTATGGAATCTCCCCCAATTCCATGATTTTAAAAAATCTATATGATGATGACTTCCAAATATGTATTTCTAGCCTTGATTTATACTCAACTACCTTTTCAACAATTCTATTTGCATCTTGAATTTGACAGTTCCAAAAGTAAAACCATAATTCAACAATATTGCATGAAAGAAACAATGTCTTCCAGACTTGTCTTCTTTGAAACATCCAATTATATTCCTGATTCTTCTCTTTCTCACAAATCTAATCTATTGGTTTACCCTCTAAACTGTATCTTGAATCAATCTGATCAATTCTTGCCATCTCACATGGTCATCCTAGTTCAAGCCATTACCATCTCTTGTCTGAATAAACAAAATAGCTTCCATTCTCCTTTACCTTCTCTGTGGTGATGCCCCCCATCCTCAATTTAGTTGTCCACATAAAAGCCAGAGTGCTAATTTAAAAATACTTACCACTGCATATCATTCCTCTGTTTAAAAGCAATGGTTTCCACTCTACTTGATAAACTCCAAACTCCATACAATGGCCTATAAAGCCCTATATGATCTTACATTCCGTAGACAAAAAAGGGGCCACATACTAAACCTAACAAGCTCAGAGGAGGCCTGCATGGCAGTCCCTATAAACTCAGAGGCCAAAACCACATAGGATGTAACCACATAGGATGATCTAAACATAAAAACTCCTAACTAAAAGCAGGTCAAGGCTGGTAGTCACATCCTAGGCCTGGAGCTTCCTAGACAAAGGTCAATCTTTACCTTAAGTGAGCCTGTCTATTATTATCTTTTTGCATGTAAAATAACATACTTTTGAAATATCAAAGTAATCTTCTTTTCTAGACCTCTCAGACTCACCCACCACACCAGAGCACAAGACCACAGTTATCTTGTTCCCTGAATACCATCTCTATGTGCTGTAACTATTAATAATTAACCCTCCTGCATCCCCCGATGTAAATGAAGTATATGTCTCTCTCTGTTTTACCTTTTATCCAATCCCAGAGATTTCCCGGCTTTGCTTTCTCCTACTCCCATAATCTACCACCAATGGATGTCATGTAACCCTCCATATGTCTCCTCCTTTGATTCGAATGTATAAAATAAACTGTAAAACTTCCATTCTCCAGAGCATTTTCTCGGTCTGTTGAGATTTTGCTTTCCGGCAATTGTCAGTTTGGCTCAAATTCATAAAAATTCTCTACAGGTTTGGACGTTTTTTACATCAACATTTCCTTTCCTCTCTGACCCAATTTTATAACCCTCTCTTCGTCATTCAGTGTGTTACAGTTTTCTATTCCTCAAACCTCCCTATCTTAGTTTTCTCAAGGGTTATAAATTTCCTGTTACCTCTGCATACAAAATTTTACTCCAAATCTTCCATGTTTGACTTCTTCCCATTATTTAGATCTCAAGTCAAATGTCACCTTCTCATAGATGTCTCCCTGATCACCCTAAATAAGGTGCTCTATCACATAATATTGTTTTATTTTCTCATAGTAATTACCATTATCAAAAATTCAGCATGAATTGCTGAATGATGAAAATTGCTAACTTGGCTTTTAGTGCCTTGATTCTATATTCCGATTCTCTTAGAGTCTTGTTCCATTCTTTACTTCTTTTCTTTCTTGCATCTCTGATGTCTTTCTCTCTCCACTGCTACTTCTATCTATAAACATTCTCAACTCTCCCTCATTTCTTTGTTACCCCCATTCTTTTTGGGGTTCTTAAACATGGGTCATACTTCCTCTTCCCCACCAACTGCTTTACTGAATTTAGTCTCCAAAGGGTGACAGTGATGTCCCATTAGTCAAAACACAGTGGTTTTTCTCTCCATTGAATTTAAAAAGCAGAAAATAAAAAATAAAAATTCTACCTCCTTGAGATAAACCACTATTATCATTTACTGTGTATATTGCCAGACCTTTTTTAGTGTAAGCAAATGGATTTAAAAATAAACTAAGACAAAAATAGAATGATAGCATACATGCTACTTTATATAATTAAAAATATATATATTATTAGATCTTTTCAGATCAACATATGGGTTCTGTCCTCTTGTTTCCTCTTCCATTAGTCCTTATCTAATCACCTGTTTAGCATAAAAGAGTTATTGAAGACAACAATATGGTATCATTCTATCATTCTAGCCTACTCTTGTGCCACTTATTTTGCTAGTCAAAACTTCTTACTTCCTCTATTTTACCAGGCAGTGGGTACAATTCAATTACTTCAATTCTTACTGCAGTGGGTACAAATGAATTCTAAGTATTTAGAAAAAAAAAATTAAAAGAGAAACAAACATTTAAAAGCACTCGTGAATCTATCGAACATTTTTCTTACAAGGTAGGTGATAATCTGCTGTTCTCTGAGTCAGCCTCATCACAATAAATGATTCTAGTGTTTAAAAGTGTAAAAGTCGATCAACTGATTTGGTGCATAAATAAAAATTTGAAAATACTCTTTTTCAATTTAGGAAAAATTGGCTGCTTTAATCTTATTAAGATGCTATGCTGTTTTCCAATATGACTCCTAAATGCAGCTACATATACTGTACTTTATCAGTGATCTAAGAGATTTTCAGGTTTGAGTATACTCAGTTTTTCCTGCCAGACCGAGAACCTATCCCAGCATAAAATTTCTCCTATAGTTTCTGAATATACCAACTCCTTTCACATGACATTTATGCCAGTAGTCCAACAATAATGATGCTGTCTGATGTAATTACAGATATGTTTTAATGTCAATTAAAAATAATGACCATTTATGCTCATCTCCTAGTTTCTACTCATCCTACTTGGCACTATCCTTTAAAACAGCTTCTGGTTAGGAATCGGGCTGTTGAGCTAATAATAAAGTTTGACTTTCTCAATTAAAAATTTTATGTAATCTTTTAAGGTATAGAAATAATAATAATCATTAAAAAGATTTAGAAGGTTAGCATATTCCCAACTTCTAATTTATAATAAAAATAAAAGACAAAAATCCTTAACATGACAACAAACAGGTTTGATTAAACAAACATACTCATAATCTGGCTTTTTTGGTATGAATATGTCCTGTACATCATCTTCAACATGTTGTAGGTCAACATAGAGGTCTGCAGTTCCACTTCCATTAAATTTTCCTTGAATATTTTGGCTGTACTGTTGAAGACGCTTCCATAAGTCATTATAAAGACGCAATAATTTAGGGTATTCTCCTTCAAATGCCTGTTTCAAAAACATAGAAGCTGCCAAGCAAAACAATAAGATGCATTAGATAAATGATAAAATAAAATGTAACTAATAAAAACTTCTTTTATATATGGAGGTGATGCTACAAAAAGCCTAGGTTATAGGACAAACCGAAAATGTGTTCTAATGAGGCCTTTTGAAATAATGATAGTAATAGTAATTTTCCACTCATTTATTATAGGTGATACTTTTTTTTTTTTTTTGGAAATTGGTTAGAAATTTATGTAGTTCATGAAACAATCCCAATTACTCTATCACCCCTCTGGCTCTACACACAGCCATTACATTAATGCTGACTGCATTCTCTATGCCAAGTTCCCCAGCTCCATGACCATCTATCAACTACTAATTTATACTTCTTTAACCGTTCAACTCCTTTCTCCCAGCCCCTCAATATCCTCCCTCTATGGCTGCCATGAGACTGTCCTCTATATTTGTGAGTCTGTTTTCGATTAGTTTGTTCTTTTTGTTCCTTAGATTCCACATATAAGTGAAATCATATAGTACAGAAAGAAGAACAAAGTTGGAGGTATCACACTACCTGATATCAAGCTATTCTACAAGGCTACAGTAATTAAAACAGCATGGTCCTGGTGTAAAAACAGATATACTGATCAGTAGACTAGAAAGCCCAGAAATAAATCCACGTCTATATGCTCATTTAATATATGACAAAGGAGGCAAGAATATATAATGGCGTAAAGACAGTTTCTTCAATAAATGGTGTTGGGAAATTAAACAGATACATGCAAAAAAATGAAAGTGGACTACCTTCTTATACCTTATACAAGAATAGACTCAAAATGGATTATAGACTTATACGGAAGACCCCAAACCATAAAACTTCTAGAATAAAACATAAACAGTAACTCTCTGATACTGCTACTAGTAATTTCTTTTTTGGATACATCTCCTCGTGCAAGGGAAACAAAAGAAAAAATAAATAGAACTACATCAAACTAAAAAGGTTTTGCACAGCAAAGGAAACCATTAACAAAACAAAAAGACAATCTACTGAATGAGAGAAGACATTCACTTATGATACACCTGATAAGGGGTTAATATACAAAATATATAATTCATACAACTCAGTGACAACAAAAAAACAATCCAATTAAAAAATAGGTGATACTTTTATAAATAGACACCTCTAACATCAATTATTTGGTTTCTTTGAGATATCATTTATGTAGGAAAGGCAGAAAAATGTTTAACTTTTTTTTATCTCTTTATTTACCAGTTTTCAAAATGCAGAGTAAGTTCCATGTATCATCAAGGGTAACCAGTAAGTATTTCTTTATTTACATCATTAAGAACTCTTGGATTTAGGCATATCTGATGGGTTTCAATCTCTTGTAATTGTTACCCTTACTGATGCTAAATTTATTCCATCTTTGGTATATACCAAATCCTTTTAATACAACTCTAATAGTCTTTTGCCTTGGTTTCTGGTACATAGGATTACAGAATTGTCCTGCACATTTCCTGCCCCAGACCTGGAATTAGCCATTTCTTCAAGAAACTCTGGTTTCTTTTAATGAGAAATCGTGTTTAAAAACCACAACATGGGTATTAGAGGGGTTCAGTACTATGGAAATAGTTACTATTTCTACGCCTTTCCAGTGGACAGAGATATGAAACATACATAAATCAAATTACTTATTTTTAAAGAAAAAATTCCTACACAGTTGATCCTACACATTTTATACCTTCCTTCTCCTATGCTGAAAATCCTGATTCACTATGATAACCAACATAATTATTCATTTACTTTTTAGCACACCACATATACAGCAACCTGAGAATAATAATAATAATAATCCCATCAATAACATGATTATTAAAAACAGTTCATAGATTTTTAGGGAAGATCTTGTCTTTGAAAAATATCCCAGTAGGGCCACAAAAACTTTTTTTTTTTTTTAACAACAAAAAAAGTAAAGAAGTCAAATGAAGATATTCCTTTGGTGTGGTTATGCCACCAATGACACATACTTGCATTAAGATTTTCCATTTTACTTGTGATTTTTAGTAATTTCTTTCATTTTGTAACTACATAAAATATTTATATATTTTCCAAGTTAAATCTACACAACAAAGTATATTCAAAGAAGACTAGCTTTTATCCCTGGTCTCTCCAATGTATTCATCATACACACCCTCCCCATAATATTGGTAACCATTTTTCTGGATTTTACGGTTTATCCTTCCATTTCTAAAAATATATATGCAAAAATTTATACTTTTATATACCACTCCCTATCTCAGGTAAACAACAGCACACTGTATGCATACTTCATCTTTCTTTTTTAAAATTAATATATCTTTGAGATTGCTCCATAGCAGTACATAAAGCTATTCTTCAGTCCATTTTTAAAAATGTTCTTGTTCCTTGTTATAGCTGCATGGCATTTTATTCTATGGATATACCATAGTTTAATCCCCTTGTCATGAACATTTGGACTATTTTTAGTTTTTTCTATTCCAAGTAATGATGCAGTGAATAGACATGTGGATATGTCTTTTCATATTATTGCTAGTGCATCTATGGAATAAATTTTTAGGAGTAGAATTGCTCAGTAAAAAAGCAAATGGCTATATGATTTTGTTAGATACTCGCAAACTTCCCTCCATAAGGTTTGTATGCTAATTAACAACGTGTGAGTGTCTGTTTCCTCACAGGCTTGCCAACAGAGTGTTACAAAACTTTTTTATTTTTTTGCTGAATTGATGGATGAGAAATGAGGTCTCTGTATAGTTTTATTTTTCTTTTCTCATTTTATAGGTGACATCTTTTTTCTTTAGGGTTGTTGGCTATTCCCTTCTCATTTTAGAAGCTTTTTATACATTAGGGATACTAATTCCTTTTCTTTGGTATAAGTTATTAATGGTCAATAAACACAGAAAAATAAATATCATTGATCACAGAAAAATTAAAACCACAATGTGGTTCAACTAAATGTCCACCAAAATGGCTAAAACAAACAAACAAACAAACAAACAAACAAAACACAGAAAACACCAAGTGTTGACAAAGATATGGAAAACCTGGAACATATACTGTGAATGGGAATTTGGTATAACAACATTAGAAAACACTTTAGCAGTATCTACTAAAGCTGAACATATGCATACTTTATCACCTACTGTATTCGTTCTCTACAGTTGCTGTAACAAATTATCACAAACTTGGTGGCTTAAAACAACATAAATGGATTATCTTTTAGTTCTTAAGGTTTTCTAACAAATTTGGTCTCAATAAGCCAAAATCAGGGTGCCAGGAAAGCTGCGTTCCTTCTGAAGGTTCTAGGGGAGTTTTTCCTTGACTTTTCCATCTGCCTACATTCCTTGGCCTGTGGTCTCTTTCCAGCAATTGTATCTCTGTTTCCATGGTCACATCTCCTCCTTTTTTAAGTTTAAAAACTTAAAAGTTTTTTTATAAAAGAGGACTGGCATGTTTTCTTTCTTGATTCCTCCTTCCTTCCTTCCTTCCTTCTAGTCAACAAGTATTTAGTGAAGGAAAGATTTTCCTTCCTTCCTTCTAGTCAACAAGTATTTAGTGAAGCTTTACTGTGTGTCCCGTACTCTTTTAGCCATTGAGGATCTTGCCATGATCTAAGTAGTATTCCATGTCTTACAAGGATTATATTCTAGCAGGAGGTGAGGAGTAGCAGGGGGATGGGTCCAAATATGACAAATAAGTGAAATATTAGAAAGTGACAAGAGCTATGAAGAAAATAAAGCAAAGTAAGAGGGATGAGATATTATGGGAAAACCATCAGATTACAAAGAATTATATTTTCATTTGAAAAAGTTCAAAATGATAACGTTTATTTTGCTTGCTTCTATTGAGACTTAAAAAATACGTAACATAACTCGACAGGCTGATGAACAAATATTATTATCTGGAAACTACAATAGATAAATAACAGACATAAAGTTTAGAAATCATCTTGGAAATAACTGACACCCATAGATAATTAAAGCAGCAGATTTCCTATTGAAGCTACTTTAAATCATGATGACAAATTCAGGCTCCTTATCTTTTGAATAAAGTAACTTTATTGCTTGTAAAACCCTTGGATTATATGTTATTATACCTAGTAGAACTACATTTTACCAAGTATGAATGTTTATCATCAGAAAGAACATGTTCCTAACTAGAAAAATTTCCCTTTAGATATTTTCTGCCAAAATATTACTTACTTAGACAATCTGTTACATTGTGCAGAATCTTCAACTCTGCAGATGGTTGCATTTCCTTAATACTGCCTGTCTATAATTTTAAGTACTACAGTACACATCATGGACTGTATGTGCTATATAAAAGAAAGGTGCTTTCCAAAAAACTTACTTGGAGTTCTCCCAAAGGTAGTTATTAAAGTAATAACACTATTAGAAGTAACAGACTACTCTGAATGTAAAATATTAATATGGGATTTTTTTGCCTAAAAATATTATATTTCCTGTCAGTAGCTTCTTTGACTACACAGCCAGATAGGTCCAATAAGGTAAGAACTGTAACATATCCACTGGATTTGGCAATTAATAGGTAGGTCACTGCTTACTTTAATAAGATAGCCAGAGTACACTTAGTTGAAAAATAAACTATATGAAAATGAAGACAAAAACAAAAAAAACAAAAAAAAACCCAACTACAAACTACTCTTTTGAGAAAGTTTGGATAAAAATTGAAGGGGAGATTAAACAGTAACTAAAGAGAAACTATCGGAAGCATTTGAAATCCTGCTTCCCTGTAATCATTGGTAGTTTGGCTCAAATAAACTGTCATAAAAATTGTAAAAAAGAAAGAGAGGAACTCTCTAGTTTTGTTTTAGTTTTTATTAGATTAGAACAACTTGACTAGGTTTATATCTCAGGGGAAAAAATATTAAAAAAAAGAAATGCGAATTAAATTTACTATTTAAATAAGTAAAATACTGACTATAACAACTCCAAAACTTTTAAAAAACATTTTTAAAGCAATAAATTATATTTTTATTCAATGCTTGAAAATGATAAATTGAAACAGCCATAAATGAGCTTTTACATTTGCTTTCTTTTATTTTAAAAACTAAAGTTGCAATAAATTTTGTAATTATACTGACATATTTTATAGGTGCAATTACATCTTTGTATTTTCTTAGTAATTATATTCCTTAAAACATAATTGGCTTACAACGTAAAAGTTAAATATTAAAGAAAACTTCATGGGAGGAGGGAGGTAGATGGGGTAAAAGGGGTCAAATATGTGGTGACGGAAAGAAATCTATGGAAAAGGAACACACATAGAAAGAAAGAGAGGGAAGGAGGGAGGGTGGGTGGAAGGAAGGAAGGAAGGAAACTTTATGATGATAATTGTTCTCATGAAAACCCAATACTTTCAGACATAAAGAAACTGTTAAATGGCTATATTTATATGGTACTATATCTGAATATTTTTAAAACTACCCCCTAAAATAATTCATGATTTAAGTTTTAAACAAACATCTCAGATTCTCCAAATGCTCATTTAGTTAGAAAACAACAATTATTGAATCAAAGATATAGACATATAGATGTTATTTCACTATCGTTTGGAAAAAATAATGTGACTGTGGCTTGCAGCTAAAATACTCCCTTATAGAGAAATTTGTAGCATGCTTAAATTAGAAAAAAAAAAGGTTCAAATCGATAGTCTACACTTAACCTTAATAAACAAGAAATTAAGCAAATCAAACCCAAAGCAAAAAGAAAATAAATAATATACATGAGTGGAAATCAATAAAATTGAAAACAGAAAATAGAGAAAAGTCAACAAAACCAAATGTTGGTTTCTGAGAAGATGAATAAAATTAATAAACTTCTAATCATAATCATTAGGAATAAGGAAAAAACTAATAATACCAGGAATGAGATATGGAATATCATATCGGATTCTCCATACACTCAAAGGGTAATAAGGAAGTATTAAAAGCAACTTTATGCCAATCAATCAGAAAACTTCAAGGAACTGGAAAAATTCTTTGAAAGACATAAACTACCAAAGCTCACGAAATAAATGAGATAATCCTGCATCTATAAAAGAAGTTGAATTTGTAGTTAAAACCTCCCCTCAAAGAAAATTCCAGGCCTGTATGACTTCCTTAGTGAATTCTACCAAATATTTAAAGAAGAAATGATACCAATTCTACACAAACTGCTTGAGAAAATTGAAGAAGAAGGAATACTTCCCAACACACTCTCTGACGTTAGCATTATGTTGATACCAAAACTGGAAAGAGATATTAGAAGAAAACTAAAGATCAATATCTCATAAACATAGAATCGAAAGACCTTAAACATTTTTTAGCAATTTGAGCCCAACAACATATAAAAAGGATAATACATCATGACCACATGAAGCTTATCCAAGAATGCAAGGTTAGTTTAACATTTGAAAAATCAACATAATTCACCATATTAATAGACTAAAATAACTAATACCATTTGATCATCTAAATGGATGCAAAAAAGTACTGGGAAAAAATTAACAGTTCAAAATAAACACTCTCAAATAACTACTAATAGAAAGAAACATCCTCATCCTGACTAAGGACATTACTGAAAAACCTTCAGATCATATAAAGGTTAACTGAATGCTTTCTGAGATTGTAAACAAGGTAAAACCTACCTCAATTCTACACAGTATTGGAGGTGTTAGCGAGTGTTGTAAGGGAAGAAAAAATAAATAAAAGAAAGCTAGATTGGAAAAGAAGCAAAATTGTTTTTATTTGTAGACTATATTATCACTGATATAGAAAATCCTAAAAATAATCTCCCATAACTACTAAAATAAGTAAGGTTAGCAAAGTCAAGAATACATGGCTAGTACATAGAAATCAACTGTATTTCTATATTCTAACGATGAACAATTATAAAGAAATTTTAAAAAACAATGCTTATAATAGCATCAAAATATATGAAATTATAATAAATTTAAGAAAAGATTTGCTAGACCTGCAGACTAAAAACTATATAACACTGTGAAGAGAATATGTAAAAGACCTAGATCAAAGGTAAGGTGTAATAACACACTTGTGGATGAGAACACTTTATATTGTTAAGATGTGAATTCATTACAAATTGATCTGTAGATTCAATAAATCTTAACCAAAATCTGTTTTTACAGGAACAACATGCTGATTCTGAAATGTATATGGAAACGCAAAGAGCCTAGAATAGGAAGATTTACACTTTAATGATTAAAATTGTATGGCATTTATACAAATATAGACATGCAAAAAAAAATAGAACAAAATAGATTCTAGAAATAGTTTCACTCATATATGTCCACATGATTTTCAACAGAAACTCCAAGGCAATCAATAAGCGGAGTATAATCTTTTAGATGTGTATGCAAAGATGAATCTTAATCCTTATCTCGTATCATATACAAAAATTAACTCCAAATGAACCTAGTAAAACTTCTAGAAAAAAATATAGAAGGAAATACTTCTGGCCTTGAGTCACACAAAGATTTCCTAGGTCAAAAAAACCACATAAATTATAAAAGAAAAATTGATAAATTTGACTTTTCCAAATTTAAAAACTGTTATCATTTGGAAGATATTGAGAAAATGAAAAGGCAAATCAGAGACAAGGGAGATATATTTGCAAAACATACACCTGAGAAAAGACTTTGAATTTAGAGCGTAAAGATCTCTTAAGAATTAATAATGAGATCAAATAAACTAAAAAATTGAAATAGAATAAAATAAAATAAAATGAACTAAAAAGCCAATAATTTTGACAAATGCATAACCAAAGAAGATATACAGATGGCAAATAAGCATGTGAAAATATGGTCCTCATTAGTCTTTAGGCTAGCGGAAGTTAAAACCACAATTAAAAACTACTACACGCTCACAAGAATGGCTAAAATTAAAATGACTACCAATATCATGGATTGTTAAGAATGTAGAGCCACTGGAATTATCATATATTGCTGATAGGAATGCAAAATGGTACATCAATCTTGGAAAATAGTTTAGCAATTATTTATAAAGTTAAACATATATTTATCAAATGATCAGGAAATTCCACTCATAAGTATTTACCCAAGAGAATGAAGACATATGTCTACAAAAGACTTGTTTATAAATGACTATAGTAGCTTTACTCACAATAACCCAAAATTGTGACATCCCAACTGCTCCCCAGCTGGGTAACAGATAAACAAATTGTTGTATGTATCTACTCAGTGGAATACTAGTCACCGATTAAAAGAAAATGGACTACTAATATATGCGACAACATGGGTGTATCTTAAAATAATTATGCTGACATAAAAGAATACATACTGCACAATGTCAGTTTTATGAAAATCTAGGAAAAGCTAACTTATACTGATAGAAAGTTGATTGTTAGTTGCCAGGAGCCAAGAGGTGAGAGTAGATTAACTACAAAAGTACATAAGTGAAACTTAGGAGGTGGAAACGTTCCGTATCTTAACAGTTACAGTGGTTAAAAAGATGCAAACATACATAGAATTTTCTGCTTTAAATTGGAGACTTTTACTGTATATAAATTATATCTGAAAAAAAGCTGATTCAAACAGATACCTAATGGAGGAGATGTATTCTCTCGAGTAGTGTGATTTGTGTAAGTAAATGGAGTGAATCAGCCCTAAATAAAACCTCTGTTTAAGTGCTGTGTGGTCACACATTAATGAAGACTCTTCTATGGGCAATGCCTTACTGTATACTTCTTTAGAAATAGAAGAGAGGTAGGTAGTGTGGTTTATTCAACACTGTGTTGCCAGTGACTAAATAATATTTATATGTACTAGTTATTTTCAGTGAGAGTTTGTGAAAAAAAAATCTAACTACACACAAACTCTCCAAACCCTTTATTTTATTTTATTATTATTTTTTATGGTGACATTGGTTAACAAAATCCAATAAGTTTCAGCTGTACACTTTAACAGTAAGGCATATATATATTTAAACTGTGTGTTCACCTCCCATAGTTAGAATTCTTTTGGTCACCACATATTTGACCCCCTTTACCCCACCTACCTCCCCCCTCTCCCTACCCCATCCCCTCTTAAAACCATTAGTCTATATAGTCCATGCCATGAGTATCTGTTTGTCCTGTTCATTTGTTGCTTTTAGGTTTATATCCCACATATAAGTGATATCACATGATTTTCAACTTTTTCTGTCTGGTTTACTTTGCTTAGTATGATTATCTCAAGGTTCGAAAAGATATTTGCACACCAATGTTCATAGCAGTTATTCACAGTGGCCAGGATGGAAGCAACCAAAGTGTTCTACGATAGATGATTGGCTAAAGAAGCTGTGGTACATATATACAATGGAATATTACTCAGCCATAAGAAGATATGAAATAACTGCCATTTGTGACAACATGGATGGACCTCGAGATAATCAAAACCCTTTTAAAAAGTCCAGGTACATTCCACACTCTTACACTCAGTGATTAGACAATAACATTCATAAGATATTAGCTAGTTTGTATATTTCTTTGTTTAGAACTGCCCTGTGCTGTTATTTTATGGCAAAAACAAATTAAGAAAAAGTTTAGTGGCTCAAATTTGGATAAGCAACATTCATGATGTAAATATTTCACCTGTTAATTCATCAAGTCTTCATTTTTAACAATAAGGAAAAAGCTATCAAGTCTCTGCATTTTAACTTATTCTTTTGGAGAATTTTATTCAAAATATTATTTAAAAAGTGCAAAAAATTAACTCATTGTTTATAAAACTAAATATATGTCTAACATAAGAAATGAAAATTAGCCAGGAATCTTAAAAAGATATTTTATAAAACTACAGAGGAAAGCATCTTGACATTAAATTCTAAAGTAACTGAACAACTCTGCAGTGAATTTGTAAAATAAATAGTATACTTACAATTTGTTGCCATTTGAAATTGAGAATAAAGTGCTTGAGTAACTGAATTCCAAAATGTGTATAAAATTCCAGATTGTTCATCCTGTGAGCCAAAATAGGAATGTATTCACTAATTTTAAAAAAGTATAATGGATAAGATATAACATTAAAATTTATTTAAAAAGTACTGAAATAAAAATTTCTGAGACATCTGTCATTCAAACAATGAAATTATTAAGTAACTTAGTAGAAATATATAGATGACTCAAATCATGTCTCATGTTCAGGTAATCAGTTATCATCCTGCTCTGCTACTTACTAGCTCTGTGAGCTTGGGCAAGTTGCTTAATCATTCTGTGCCTCCTTCCTATCTGCAAAATGGAAATGATAACAGTACCTACATTGCAAGATTATTGTGAAGATTTAAGAAGTCTATAAAAGTAAAGCCTTGGGACAGTTCCTAATACATAATAAACCCTCAGTGAATGTAAGTTATTATAATTACTATCATCATGACTCTGGTATACAGAAGGCAATTTCTGTGACCATAACAAAATAATGGACAAAGCATGCTTAAACCAAGAATGACCACCAAGATATAATTCACCAATTACAAAAGAGAACTGCCTGAAGCATAGATACCATTTTATTTTTACAAAGTCAGAGGAATTACTACTACTTAGCTTAGTATGATATTTTTTTCATTCAACTTTGGATACATGTTTTAGAAAATAATTCCTAAAAAAAGATAACATTAAAGTATCATTTGTTAAAAAAAGACAAAGTACTTTAATTCCGTTAAAACAGAATTACACTTCGAGAAATTTTATCAAGTACTTTTAAGGTACTTCTATACATGTGATGTACAATATCAAATTGCCGATATTCTATTTTTGACAAAAATGACAATTTCATATGGTTCGCCCTAATAATATAACTAAAATTTGCCTAATGTTCAAATATGACTACTGTCATATAAAAGAATTAGGAAATTCATTAATTGTTTTACTTTTGCACTTGTAACAAAAGAAATTCTAATTTTCAAGGTTATAAATAAAGTAATGAAAAATACTGATTTCTCACTTTTATATCAATTCATACTTCTATTTTCATTGTAATTTGTTTCTTTTTTAAAAAATAAGTGTTTTGCTTTGAATTTTGGGTATTGTATACCATGACAAAAGCAAATCAAATAATTGTTAATTTATGCAATGATAAGGAGATTCAGATTCCCAAAATATACATATTTTACATAATATGTATATTGTATACCATGTACTTAATTTAAAGTAAGTGTTTTGTCATATTAAAGAACTATTATAATATGCCACATTAATGGAATAAAGAACAAAAAACACATGATTATCTCAACTGATGCACAAAAAGCCTTGGATAAATTCAACACCTTTCCTGATAAAACCACTCAACACGCTAGGAATAAAAGGAAATTACCACAACATAATAAAGGTTATATACTGTCCACAGCTAACATCATAATGATAAAAAACTGAAAGCCTTCCCTCTAAGATGTGGAAAATTTGATGACTATACATACCTACACACACACACACACAAAAAAAAGAAAACTTGGGTCAATCTTGCTTAAAAATCAAAGACAAAATTCTCAAATATGAAAACTAATTGATTTCAACAGTGTATTAAAGTAATTATTTGAATGATCTGCCTAAACACATAGGATTTATGCCAGCAATATAAGTATCATTTAATGTTAGGAAATCTATTAATATAATAGCCCAGTCTCTGGTAAAACGATTTATAGCTAAGTGAATAAAAGGTGACTAATACCCTTTAATTAAATTAATAAAATACTTAATAGCTAGTGCTCATATTTTTTAAACTCATAGAAAACGATGCAAAAAAATGATTCTTGTCTTCTAAGAGTGGTAAAAAACAAAATTTCCCATCTTAACCATTTTAAAGAGTACAATTGTGTTAACTATATGCAGCTTGTTCAACAGATCTCTAGAACTTTTTCATCTCCCAAAACTGAAACTCTGTACAGTTGGACCTCTACATCCATGGATTCAACCAACTGGGGATCAAAAAATATTCAGAGAAAAAAGTTACATTGTTGGTGACATGTACTGTGTATTAAGTCTATAATGGCTATCTGTGTTGAAAATGTAGACTTTTTTTTCTTGTAATTATTCCCTAAACAATACAGTGTAACAACTATTTACAAGCATTTACATTGTATTAGGTATCGTAAGTAATCTAGAGATGATTTAAAGTATATGGGAGACCAGAGGATGGGGAGCGGGGGGTGGGGGAGGGAGAAGGCAGACGGAGTAAAGGGAGTCAAATACGTGGCGACAGAAAGAGTTCTAACTATGGGAGGTGAACAGTGTAAATATATATATGCCTTACTGTTAAAGCGTATAGCTGAAACTTACTGGATTTTGTTAACCAATGTCACCATAAAAAAAAAAAAAAAACTTAAAAAAAGATAATAAAGTATATGGGAGGATGTGCATAGGTTATATGTAAATATTATGCTATTTTATACAAGGGACTTGGGCATCTGCAGATTTTGGTATGGGAGATGTGTGTCCCAGAACCAATCTCCCTCAGAAATCGAGGAACAACTGGACATATAGAACAAGTCCCCTTTACTTTCTACCCCTAACCTCTGGCAATCATTTATCTACTTTTTGTTTCCAAGAGTGTGACTACTTAGATAACTCATATAACTGGAATCATACAATATTTGTCTTTTTGTGATTGGCTTATTTCATTTAGTATGATGTTTTCAACTTTCATTCATATGACAGAATTTCCTTTTTTTATGGTGGAATAATATTTCATTCTATGTGTGTGTATCACATTTTCTTTATCCATTCATGCATTGATGAACACCAGGATTGCTTTTATCTCTTGGCTATTATGAATAATACTGCAATAAACATGGATAGGCAAATCTCTTCAAAATCCTGTTTTCAATTCTTTTGGATATTTATCTCCAGAAGTGAGATTGCTGAATCACATGATAATTCTATTTTTTGAGGAACCTCCATACTTTTCTTAGCAGCTGCACCATTTTACATTTCTATTAACAGTGTACATGTGTTCCAATTTCTGTACATCCTCACCAATACTTGTTTTACTTTTTTTTATTTGTCATCCTAATGAGTACAAGGTCATATCTCCTTTTATTGATTTGGATTTCCTGATGATTAGTGATGTTGGTCATCTTTTCATATACTTCTTAGCCATTTGTATGTCTTCTTTAGAGAAATAACTATTCAAGCCCTTCACACATTTTTTAATCAAGTTGTTTTTGTTGTTGAGTTGTATGAGTTGTGATTCTTTATATATCCTTGACGTGACCCCTCATCATAAATCTGGCTTACAAATATTTTCTCCCATTTTGCAGGTTGCCTTCTCACTCTGTTGACTGCTTCCTTTGTTGCACAGAAGTTTTGAAGTTTGATGTAGTCCCAGTTGTCTACTTTTGCTTTTGTTACCTGTGATTTTGCTGTAACATCCACAAAATCAACACCAAATCCAATGTCATAAAGCTTTTCAACTATGTTATCTTCTAGGAGTTTTATAATTTTAGGTCTCACATTTAGGGTTTTAATTTATTCTGAATTTATTCTTTCTTTTGCACATGGATATCCAGTATTTTCAGTATCATTTGCTGAAGAAACTAGTAATAGAAAGTTTGTGTGACCTTCTTTATTCTGTATACCATTATTTGTCTTGTTTTATCTGAAATTAATACTGTCTTTATTACTTTCACTTGAGAAATATTTGTCAATCCATTTAATTTTTTGTCATTTGTTTTTTGATATGAATTTTACAAATAACATGAATTTAAATTTTAAACATTATTTTTGTCTCATGATAAAAAAATACAAACCATGTATGTTTACCAAATAAACATGTATAGCGAATCTCTAATAGGTTGTTCTTGCTTTTATCTTCTAATTTTATGCTTTGTGTCTCCTTTGTTTTCTGTGTTTGTTCTGCAGATTAATTTTGTTTGCTTTTATCTTCTCTAGAAGATTTTTCTTCTATTTCTTTTGGATGTGTCATTATTTATTCCTACAATTAACCCTATATTCCTCTGAGGCAAATCATTTTTGTAACTCCACAGAATTACTGAAATAGATATTTAGAAATAACAGAAATTCTTCAAGGCTTTTTAGGATTACCAAAGTAAACAAGAAAATTCTAACTCCTAGACATGCCCTTTTGAAGAAAACATGGGCTCCCAGATAATCTGCCTAGTTTTTTCTTTCATAGTCACAAGTCACTTCAAAATGCAAAGCCATCGAGTATGTATTTTTAAGTTAATCAGAAAAGAACTCAAAGTGTCCTTACTCTGGAATGCATATGAACCCTGGCTAAGGAATTAACTTTTTCTGAATGTCCATTATGTAACAGGCACTACTGGATGTTATCTCGTTTAAACCTTACAATAACCACTAGAAATTAAGCTCCATTACAGCAGAGTCCCCATTTTGTCACTTTTACCATTGTAATTTCAGCATCAAGAATGTGACCAGGACATAAAAGGCACACAATAAATACTTACTGAAAGAATGAATGGAACAATATTATTAGAGGGCATTCTTAGTCCCTTTCTGGAGAGAAAACAAAAGCTCAGAGAGAAAATGTGATATTTTTAGAATTATATAGAAAGTAACAGAACTCGGATTTGACCTAATATCTATTTGACTGATATATTAAAGTATTGTTACTCCTTATCTTTACTTAGAAAGTCCTTTATGGCCTATGTGTCCTAGCCTATTTCACGTTATATACCACTGAGATCAAAGATTCAACCACACTAATTCTTTTGTGGTCTGTCTCAGTTATCAGCTTTTAAACCCTGTACCTTCTCCAGAGTTCAGTTTAAATGTCTTTTCTTTCTTTTTCTTTATTTTTAAGTTTCAGTTGTATACTTTAACAGTAAGACATATATATATTTACATTGTGTGTTCACCTCCCATAGTTAGATTTCTTTCTGTCATTACGTATTTGACCACCTTTACCCCATCTATCTCCCCACTCCCCTCACCTCTTACCCTCTGGTAACCACTAGTCTATATTCCATATCCATGAGTCTCTATTTGT